CATGAGGTTGGTAGGCACTGCCCCCAACTGAGTACATTTTAAAGAGACAGTGAGGCATGGCACCTGTGGCTCAAGTGGCTAAGGTGCCAGCCATATACACCTAAGGTGGCGGGTTCGAATCTAGCCTGGGCCCTCCAAAACAACAATGACAGCTGCAACCAAAAAATAGCCGGGCATTGTGGCGGGCACCTGTGGTCCCAGCTACTTGGGAGGCTGAGGCAGGAGACTCACTTGAGCCCAGGAGTTGGAGGTTGCTGTGAACTGTGATGCCACAGCACTCTACCAAGGGGGGCAGCTTGAGGGTCTGTCTCAAAAAATATATATATATACAGTCAGAAACAAAATTAAAGACTTATTTGATCATCTCCCACAAGTTATGTCTTCAACACCTTGAATGTGTATTTAAGAAAGACTATGTCAGTAAGAACAAGGTTTGTTCCTCCTCGAGAGCATAAGAAAAGGGCCACAGTGGTAAATGTTCTTGTTCATTTGGCATTTTGCTGGAGACAGAGTATTTGGGCTCCCAAGGCAAGACCTTGGAATGAAGGAGGGGGATGCAGACCCTGTATCTCTCCACCAGTCCTTATGGCTCACCTATTTCTACAGCAAATGAGCATCCATACCACAGGCTAACACCAATGAACCTTGGGTTCAACAAATTTCTCCAACTGCACCTGACCCAAAGCTCCCAAACAAATGTTTGAGATCAAATGAGAGTTTTAGAGCAGATTTAGCAATGCGAAGGGCCCTGCCACAGTGGTAGCATCAAAGAGCAGCAGACTAATTGTAGAGGGCTCAAAGGTGAATAAAGGTGAAGGGGGGAACAAGGGAAGACCATCTTTCCTTAAATTTGGCTGAAGGCTTGGCGTGGCTCACATCTGTAATCCTACAACTCTGGGAGACAGAGGCGAGTGGATCCCTTGAGCTCAGGAGTTCAAGACCACCCTGATTGACAGTGAGACCCTATCTCTACAAAATATAAAAGAACTGGTCTTTTGGTGGGCACCTATAGTCCCAGCTACTGGGGAGGTTGAGGCAAGAGAATTACCTGAGTCCAAGAGATTGAGGTTGCTGTAAGTGATGATGACACCATAGTACTCTACCCAGGGCGAGAGTAACTTTACCTAAGAAAAAGAAGTTTGGCTGAAAGAAAGTGATCAGCAGCTGAGGAGGCACAAGCAAGGGTCAATGGATAGGTTATGCATTTGTATCTTTTAGAACAATCTCAGAAGGACCCTTAATAATTCTTAAACCTGACTATTGACTATGGCAAAATTCGAGGTGCTTTATGTATATTAACTCTTCTGATCTCCTTCCTATCCACAAGGGCTCTGACCCCCAAACCCATTGCTCTAAACCCCACACTCTGCTCTCTCACCAAAAGAGAGATACAGTCCCCAAGGTGAAGGGAGCAGCACAGGAGAGACTCCCACAAAAGAAAGCATCAGCTACAACCACAGGGCAGATCCATTCCCACAGAAGAGAGAATGAAGGTAAAGAAGAAACAGGAGTTGTGCCAGAAAATACAAGAAAGAGTTCAGAATAGGTGGAGGGTAGGCCTCAGTTAGAACAGTGCTTTCATTCTTTTAGGTTGGAAGAAAGGCACAAAGAAAGCTAAGAGTGCACAGAAATAAGTTAGGGAGAGGTGAGGGAGAATCCAGTGGACAGCCCTGACTTTTTGATGGGTTCAAAGTGGGATGGGTCTTGAAGCCAGGGATGAAATGGAAGTAACATAGGGAAATGACTGAATCCAAGAAACTTAACTGAGAAATTATGTCAATGGCTCAGCTCAGACTAGACACCATAAATTCACACAGTTGGGGGTTGCATGCTCATCGAGGGATAGAGTTGCCAGGTCGCTAAGAATCTGGATGAGACTGCAACTTGGGTAATAAACTATGGCTTCCAGACTGGATATGAAGAAAGAAATGTCAGAAATGGCATTAAAAATCCAGATTTCTGATGCCCATTTTAGCCCTTCCAAATCTGACCCTGTAGAGATGGGACCCAGGAATGTATACATTTAGAAAGCATATGGTTGATTTTTTGCAGCCAGGACACAGACAGCATTTGGAAACCACTGCTCTATCACTAGGAGTAATCCCCTGTGTTCCTCTCACCACAAGAAGAGAAGCATGCCCACTGTGAGCAGTTTCACTACACACCTCTCGGGTTCCTCCAACCATGTCACCAAGCCCCTAAATCATTCCCTCTTGCCTTTCTGCCAAACTCTGCCCAGGCTCTTCTCCCCTCTATTATTTCTGACAAACTCTGAGTCATCTTTCATAAACCAGCTCAAATATCACTGCCACTGGGGAGTCTTCTTTAACAACCATGCTTCTTCCTACCCAATCCACCCCATGTAATAAACCCATAGCACCAAGCACAGAAGTTGTTTAAATTCTTTTGGAAAAAAAATATTTTTTCCCCAATAGACACTGTACTTCTTGAGGGTAGAATATATTAGACATGCAATTAATGTTGGTTAAGTCCACTATATACACTGAAAACAATGTGAGGTGCATAAGTAATAGGAACACTTATTAATAAATTAACGAAGATATATATATTAGGAGATACAGAGCCAAATGATAGCACTGGTCTATAAGCAAGGAAATCTAAAATAACTCATGAACGTTGTCCTGTTCATTTTTACCCAATCACAAAAGCATGACCTGGCATACAGTTTCAAAGAAATGGTCACAAATCCCCACACAAGCTGCATCAGCTTTATTTAGTACCTTGAAAACATCCTGCCATACCTGTTTCAGATTTTTCAGCAAACTCTGACAAGCTGGCTCCTTCACACCACTGGGTCTCAGCTCAAACGTCATCTTCCCAGATTATTTTCCTGACTACATGCCAAAGCAGTTCTGCACCAAAACTTGCCATTACTCTTTTACTTTCTTAACATTTATTACTATTAAAACCACAATGTTTCATTAACCTACATGATATTGGTCTCTTTATCCTGTTTACCACTTTGTCCTCTGGACATGGACAGTGTGTGACTTCCATGGGTACTTAACAGACACTTTTTAATGAGAGAGAAAGTTTTAACATCAAAGCACCATTATCTACTAGTCACAAAATGTGGGAAATACATAGGTAGGAAATAGTAGAGATTTCTCCCTTGAAGGAGACAGTTTATTTACCACTCATGGGGGCAAGGACAAAGAGATGTATTAACATTATCTTTCTTCAGGAAGCTTACTCAGGATCAGAACTTCTTTTCAAAAGGAAATCACTTCCTTTCAGTGGTAGTTTCATCAGAGAAAAATCTTAAAGCAAGATACACAGACTTGCCCGATATCCTACCCTGGAAAAACTGTATCCAAACTTCACTTGTAAGCACCTGTAAACACTGGGGCAAAACTTGTTCACTGTTACATTCCCAGCACCTAGCACAGTTCAAAGCCCACAGTAGATGCCCAATGTTTACAGAATGATCACACAAGACACAGCCTCCTGGGGAATGGTCATCTTATTAACTCTTACACTGTGGATGCGCTTATTTTAAAAAGAGACCAAGACAGCTGAGGAGAGGGCTCTTGGCCTAGATCTCTCCTGGGGCAGCAGTCTAGCTCCTAGAATTTAACATTCACCAACCTGTGCCATAGATAAGAAAGTAAGACCTTTCCCTGAGACACACTGTATCAAACTTGAATACACTTTGCCCATGCAATCTAATGGCTTATAGGGTACAGCAACCAGTAACAGATTTCTCTGGACTTTTATTTAAATTTTTTATATGTATTTTGGCCTGCAAGGATAGCTCAAAAGGCTGAAAAAGCAAGTAAAACTGAAGTTCTACTGCTAATTTTGCACCCCCTAGTGTATGGCTCACCGTGATCCCAGGAAAAACACATCACAATCTTGAACTGTTAGCATCATTGACTGCAAGAATGTTCTTCAAAGGGTAGTTTCAGGAAGATTAGTTAGCTAGCAGTTGTAAGATGCCCTGGGTCTAATGTATGAAAGATACTATAAATAAAATTAATTATAAAAGAAGAGAAATCATAAATATTAAACTCATTTCAAAACCTGTTGAGAAGAAAGATTTAAAATGATAATGATGGCTGCCCCTCTGAAACTAACTCACTGCCAGACTTAGACATATATTGTCAGAAGAAGATTCACAATATTCCCAACAGATCCTTCACCTTTGGAATGTGTGATGTTTCTGTACTCTATCAACATTCACTTCCCTTGTATAGAAATATGAAGTATCAACAGTGACAAGCAATTGCAAAATTATAGCTGTTCAAATAGTTCAATGTCGCTTTATAAGTGCCTAATCTCAGTGCTATTTGGTTAACATTCAATACATCTTATCAAAAGTCAATTAGATAGAGTCAATGTCAGCGAGAAAGGGCTGTTTCAAAGGCTATATATACTTCTCCGCTCCCTAGCTGCTGACCATCGCTGACAAGCCAGGCAAATAGAACAAAATCCAGCAGCAAAGTGGGCACTCTCTCTTCAAAAGACTTCCTAACTTGCCTCCACTTTAAAGCACTTTAATCCGTTTTTATTTGTCTAAAAATTCTTCAGGGAGGCTAGAGAAGAAACATATCCAAGTAAAACTGAGAGGCCAGCTCCTGAAGCAGAGTTGAAATGTACATGTGGCAGAGAATCAGTTTGGTCCCCAACACCCTAAATGAATGGAGCGAGATGACTGGGAAGGGGGCAGAGGCGTCCTCATCGCCTCCACCAGGACAGCCTCTTCTTTCGGCTCCACACACGCGTTGCAACCGGAGGAAACCCAGCCGGACGGGGGCTCACAGGTGTGGGCCGGGACTGGGCGGGACTTAGCGCCCACTCGCCCCTTCAGGCGGAACCCGCGGTCCCCCAAGAGCAGGTACTGAGGTTCGGGAGCGAGGCTGGAGGGTCGGCCCCCCAACCTCCTGCAAACCCGAGGATCCCCGCTGCCCTCAGCCTCCTCACGGAGGTGCCCAGGGTGGCGATAGGTGGCGGCCAGGATGGCGGTAGCGGGTACTCACAGAGCCCACTGGAGCCGGTGCTGGTGAACATGGTCCCGCTGGGCCGGGAGCCCCCGCGGGAGACAGGGGGAGGGAAATAAAGAAGGGGAGCCCGGCGACCGCGCACGCGCACTCCCGGCGGGGCGGCAAATGGGACGCCGCGAGGCCTCTCCGGGGACGCCTGATGACCGGCGCATGCGCGGTCGCGGAGCGCCCCCGCTCGGCCAGAGCCCTCCCTTCCTGCCGGGGAAGGGAAGTGCGTCCGCGGGGGGGAGGGGGAGGGGCCCGCCCGCCTCTCCGGGGTTTTTAGACGGCTGTGGGAGCTGTTTGCCGGGGGGAAAGGTAGAATGCCACTGGAAGCGCGAAGCTGTAGTCCCAGGGGCTGCTCACTGGTACCCAGTGCGTCCCACGCCTCGTGCAGCCACGAAGGCAGTGGCTTCCTCTGGGTCGCCCGCGCTGGGCTCTGCGACCTCTAACCTCTCCCAGTCCAGACTCCCGGCGCCTTCCGCGCTGGCTCCGTCTTCTGGCGGTCCCCAGAGCTCGTCGCCTTCGGGCTCGCAGGGCCCAACCCGTGTGCTAAGTCTGAGGCTTGTGGATCAATAAAACGCAGTCCCTGCTCTAGCAGTGGACCAAGTTATTGACATTGATTATTTGTAGGAGGCTAAAGTCCAGGCAATTTTTTGTTTTTTATTGAGACTGTCTCACCATGTCGCCCTCGGTAGAGGCTGTGGCGTCACAGCTCACAGTAACCTCTAACTCTTGGGCGTTAGCGATCCTCTTACCTTAGCTTCCCAAGTAGCTGGGACTACAGGTGCTCACCACAATGACCGGCTATTTTTTGTTGCAGTTGTTCGTTATTGTTTAGCTCGCCCGGGCTGGGATCGAACCCGCCACCTTTGGTGTATGTGGCTGGCGCCATAATCACTATACTACGGGCGACGAGCCGGTACAGGCACTTTGTATCTCCTTCCTAAGACTTTCTTTATATGGTCTGTTCACAATATTGAAATAACGTTTTTTCTTTTCCTTTTTTTGTTTTGTTTTCTGAGACAGTCTATGTTGTCCTCGGTGGAGTGCCATTGTGTCAAAGATCACAGCAACCTCAAACTTTTGGGCTTTAGCGATTCCCTTTCCTCAGCCTCCCAAGTAACTGGGACTACAGGCACCCACCACAATACCCGGCTATTTTTGTTGTTGATGATGTCGTTGTTTGGCAAACCCTGGCCGGTTCGAACCCACCAGCCCTGGTATATGTGGCTGGTACCCTAACCACTGAGTTACAGGCACTGAGGCATACATACATTTTAGAGACAGAGTCTTACTCTGTACCCTGAGTAGAGGGCTGTGTTATCCTAGCTCACAGCAACCTCAAACTCTTGGGCCTAAGCGATTCTCTTGCCTCAGCCTCCCAGGTAGCTGGGACTACAGGCGCCTGCTACAATGCCCAGCTATTTTTTGTTGTAGTTGTCATTGTTGTTTGGCAAGCCTCTGGCCATATTCAAACCCTCCAGCCCTGGTGTATGTGGCCGGCGCCCGAGCTGCTGAGCTACAGGCTCTGAACTGAAATAACATTTTTTCATATGACTTTAGGTGAGGAGAAGCTAATGGGGATAGGCCAGGGGTGTGGCTACACATCCTGCAGGCAGGGCAGGCTTCCCCTATTGTGCTGCTCAAAATGTCATCAGTATAATTCATCCAACCTGTATTATCATGTCCCCAGAACTCTCAGTGTATGTCATTTGCCCTTGCCTATATTTCCAGCTTTCTCCTTTCTAGACTTTATTATGAAGAACTATTTCTATGGCGCACTCAGGATCATCTGTTGCCTTGCTGTTATATTGAATCTGCATCCTAAACTGGAGAATAGTAGTACCTTTGTAAGCTTTAGACACTGTGTACAAGTAAGGAAATCACCACCGTGCACTTGAGTAGGCTTTACAGAGGGTTGTTTCCACCAGGAAGACTAGAAAAAGTCAGAATAGCCTCTGACTCGTCTCCTCCCTCCTTGGGAGGCTGAGGAAAGGGAATCGCTAACGCCCAAAAGTTTGAGGTTGCTGTGATCTTTGACACAACGGCACTCCACCAAGGACAAATCAACAGTTAACTTCAGCAGCTCAGCTTCGCAGGTAATGCAGAGTAGCAGTTATGTCAGTCCATTTATAGAAGTTGGTGATTTCATTTTTATTATTATGCCTTTCACTTATAACGAAATTAATACCGCAAGTTACATGTAACAGTGTGTAGACATACACTTTAAAGGAATAGCTTGCTACCTAGCACTGATACCTATGTACTCTAAGAACATCATTGAGTGTAAGTCCAGCACTTTGGGAGGCTGAGGTGGGTGGATCAAGTTCAGCTAGACTTGAGCAAGACACCCATATCTAAAAATAGCCAGGTGTTGTGGTGGGTGACTCTAGTCCCCGCTGCTCAGGAGGCTGAGGCAAGAGAATAGCTTGAGCCCAAGAGTTAGAGGTTGCTATGAGCTATGACACCAGGGCATTCTACCTGGGGCAACAAAGTGAGACTGTCTCAAAAAACAAAACAAATCATTGAGTGGATAAGATACCCACTCCCTCTGCCTAGTAAACTACCTTCGAAAATTATCAACTCAATGTTCCCTCTCCCAGACTGTAACAAGCACCTCATCTGTGCACCCACCATACTTGATGCTCACCTACATTAGAATATTTATCCCACTGTCTCAGTTATTATGTTTCCATCTTCTACTGTGAAAGGGTGAGTCTATGGATAGCAAGGAAAGTGTCTTACAAAATGCTGTATCCTACCCATTTTGAGTCTGTTCTGATCTAAAGGCATTATCTTCCTCTTATAAAATAAAAGACAGCATCTCTAAGATCTTAGCCTCAGAAAGAAAAACTCCAGGTGGCTTATGTTAAAGAAAAAAATTATTTGTGACACTTGTTAAAAACCAGCAGATTTTGTTGCGGGGTGGGCATGGTGATAGCGGGACCCCAGGAATAGGGCCTTTCGATGGGGGAGAGATTGGATTTAACGTGGATTCCAACAAGGACATTTAGGGATTTATAACCAAGAGGCAGGGTGGGAGTCAGTGTATGGAAAATTACTATGAGGAAACAGCAAAGGTAAGGGGGGTTCTGGGCTAACCAGACCCGATAGGATCTTTGCTGAAGGCAGACCAGGGTGACCAAATAGCAAGAGTAGTCAGATAACAAAGAGTAGGGGATTTTCACTACACTGACAACAGATTCTTGCCCACACTGGATTCTTTAAGGACAGAGAGGGAAGCCCAAAGTTGGGCTTAATCAAGCAGAGAATCAGAGAAGCCTGACTAAAGTTTTGGTCAAAGGAGAGTGTCTTTGTCAGACAGGAGGGAGGATTGTTGGCTAAGTGTCCCTGACAACTGCCCTTCCCCTAGTTTCGCCCACCATTAGCATCAGTGTTCCTTCTGTGCCTCAGAGATAGACTGGAATTCTTTCTAAAAATCACTATGTAGTAGAGGGGGCCAAAACCAACTACAAAAATGAGTCACAAACAAAGTATCAGGTTAAGAACAAATGCTGTCCTCAAGTTCTATTCCACCATCTAGCTTCACTCCCCTGGGGACTCCAGACAACAGCTGTTTGGGAGAATCGGTAGATGATGACTAATCCTTGGACAAAGTAGGCTTCATACTGCTTCAAATGTGTTTCAACATATAATATCTGTGAAACTAATACGTGGTAGAAAATGGGTCCTGAAGCTTTATAACGAGTAGTTAAATACATTCAATGATATGATTCAGAATTAATTTTTGACTCAGCAGGGAGCATTTTGGAAATTCATAAGGGTATTTTTGGTTATCACAAAGAATTGAGGGAAATCACATGAGATACAGTCCTGCACAAAAGAATGAATTGTTCTCTGTCCCAACCAACTTTTGACTACTTTCCTGCCACATGCTTATTATGTAGGTTAAAAGCATGTTTATATTTTTTAAGTCTAGAACCTACTCCATTATACATGTAACTATGATCTGAATGTTTGTGTCTTCCAAAATTCCTATGTTGAAATTTAATCCTCAGTACAGTGGTGATGGGAGATGGGTCATCAGTAAGGTGATTAGGTCATGAGAATAGAGCCCTCAGAATAGGATTAGTGCCCTTCTAAAAAAGGTCTGACAGAGCTTGTCAGTTCAAGGCCTTCCAACTCATGAAGACACAGCTGGAGACAAAGAGCAAACCCTCACCAGAAGCTGAATCCGCTGGCACCTTGATCTTGGATTTCCTGGCCTCCAGAACTATGAACAACAAAATTCTGTTATTTATAAATTCCCTGGTCTATGGTATTTTGTTTTAGCGATCCAAACAGACTAAGACACATGTAAACTCCATATGTGTTTTGCAGAATTTTAATCCATACGGAGTTTTCCAGGAGTACAATTATACTATTTTTGTTGTTATTCAGGACTTAATCGAGATTGTTCACCAATTCAAAAAAACCTCATCACCTACAGCAACCCTACTCTCTGTATCTGAGTCATCTAAATAAATAAAATAGTGCCTGTTTTTATTTATGGCTGGTGCATTCTTGGTGATTGTATACATTTTGTAAAAATGTATAAATGTTATGCTTATTTTTAAAAATACTACATATAATTTAAGTAGTAAGACATAGTGTGTGGGGTGGCACCTGTGGCTCAAAGGAGTAAGGTGCTGGCCCCATATGCCAGAGGTGGCAAGTTTAAACCCAGCCCTGGCCAAAAAACTACAAAAAAAAAAAAAAGAAAAAAGACATAGTGTGAAGAATATTCACACAGGTGTTTGTATGTGTCCATATGATAAGACATTTTTCTAATTCATCTAAGAGATGAACCCATCAAGAGTAAGACACAGAATTGGCAGATAGACACTTTAGAGATTTAAGGAAAGTCAGAAAACCATAGTATTATCCTTGAAATCTGTTTTGAAGTCTAATCTGAAAGATGTAAGGTAATATTTCTTATAAAATAGCATAAATGATAACATTTGTGGTAATCTAAACAATATTAGAGAAAAGTTAATTTTACCAGCCATAAAGAGGTCATTATGATAGAAAGAAATTTAAATATTTTCCTGTATTCTTTTGAGTAATGATATTATATGTAGAAAAACCCATGTGAAATCCAAAGAGATAGAAACTCAGCTATGAAATGATAATGTAGTCAGAAGACTTTTTATTGCAAGTGAA